GAATATGTGCATCATGTTTACTGAGAGGTCTAAAGATCGCTGCCTGGGTTTTGTGAATGGTCGTAAATGTGAATGTTGAAAAGCCTGAAACTAAGGCAAAACACCTGCTTAATGTTCCCTAACTTCCAATAACTTTTTAGCTGACATCAGTCTATGTTGAAAACTATGAAAGAAAGTTGTGGATAAGCTTCATCCTCTAACTTAGGACTTCATCGAAAAAACGTCCACAATGATCACAGAATATTTCTGCTAACTAACGATCAGCTGCTAAAATATTTCCTTCGAGCGTGTTTGGTTCAACCTATTGGTTTTTGAGGAACCAATTAGTTTGAAAATTACTTTCACTTTAGGCTAATATAAACAGACAAAACGTTTTGGAGCATTTAACTGTTGATTTTTACCAGATTCTAATTAAACTTATTAAAATTTTATGAGATTCATCACAACGTAAGTCAATAATTAAGAATATCTTATTTGTTGACTTGTTTGAATGATCTTAACTTACTACTTTAGAGGCATTCATGAGGCTAATGTTATCCAACGAAATCTTCACTTCGAAATTTGGAAAAAAAAAGAGTATAACTTAACACCTCTGTGTATTAATTTATGAACAGAAAAAATTGCTGACTTCATTGTTTTACAAATCAATCATAACTTACTTATGTCCCAAAAATAAAGTTGAGATGGACGTTGAATACAGTAAATTAATCCAAGATTATAAGCTTGCGAAGGATAACCAACAAATATAATCCCATTATCATCTGGACTCCATAACGGTTCACTGCAAGCTAAATTATAATTATTTTCATCGATTGGAGCAAAACTAACAGTTTCAGTAGTAAGATCAAGTATACAAAGCTTCGGTTTATGCGATCCTTCATTGCCTTCACCCCAATCCTCTTGGAATACAAACGATGAAGGGTCATCTTTGAATGACTGATCATTAGTAGTAGTATTCTAGGAATAATAATTAAGTTACATAAATTGAAAGAGATTTGATGGATGTATTAATGCTATCTTTGAGCTAATAAAGATTGATCCGTAATGGATCAATTTCAAAATTCGGTTTATTTTTTATTGTATTAAAATAGTTAGCACATTGAATCACACACATAGTATCGAAACGACAGGGTGACGACGGAAATGTTGCTAACATTTTCATAAAAAAGATTGATCCTCAAGAAGACTTGTAACGATAAAAAGCCACTCAGATACGAATCAGTAAATCATAAATGAAAATTACAAACATTCTAAAAAAAGTTGTTAACTGAATAAGAACAATCAAAACTCCACTTTGATGCTTTAGATCCCTATTATGCGGAAAAATATATTCAGTTCTTGATATGTGGTAGTGAAAGTGAAATATCATTGGTCACTGAAAGTTAACAAACAGGCACTCATCCTTCGCAGTATTAAATATGTAGTTTCCTTTCCTCTCATTGATTCCTACACCGCACTCACTGAGAGTAACTAATTGAATAAAGTACTATCTAGTGTCAATTTGATTCTGTTTTTAGGTTGTGAATCCTGGTTCTGATATAACGTAAATAGTCTTATCGTCTTGACGTATTATCGTAATATAAGTGAAATGTATTTTAAACCATCCGTTATGTCGGATTTTTGTACATCTGTCTGCTTAGAAAGACTAAGTACATCCGACGGGGAACATATTGGGGTTAACAACATCAACAAAATATAGAATTCACTTATAATTTTAGTGTTTGATTTTAAGTCGTAGTGTGATACTATCCGGTTGCTCAAACAAAAAATAAGTGGAGTGGAGTTCGGACCTGTGACTTAAAGATTGAAAGTTAAGTGTTCTAACCAATTGGCTACAACACTACATAGCACAAAACTGAGATATTTGTCAGGTAGCTAACGGTAATTTGACAAATTTGATTCTCACAAATTATTTACCAAATCCAATCATTCAATAATACCGTTAAAATACTTTACCGACGATGTGCCCTGTGACAAATGATATATTATCCATCAGTAATTTCTCATAGTCACTTTATACAACAGTTATACTTTCGAAGCCCAACACTTGTCTAATTTTAAAAAATTCCTAATAAACAGTCTTGTGGTATAAAGTTCTCTTTTTCGATTTCATCGTTCATTCACTAAACACTGAATACCCTTTACCATAGACAAAGATATAGCTAATTAAATTAGACACTCAACTCTTCCAAGGCTTAGATAAAGTCTTCATTTATTGTGTAGCTTATAGTTTAACAAGCGAATGAGTATAAAGTCATTGATCTTCGATGGGTTGTGTTATGTCTGAAGAGATTACGAGTTCACCTAATCTGAAAACGGAACGAAGACTGTGACACAATGACAGATGAGCTAGCTATTCCGATGCGTCCTAGCCCCGCTAACTAAAGAAAGAAGTCCAAGTTCGGAAGGCGGAAATGTATTCTTCAAGCAGCTAGAAGCATAAACAACGACGACAAGTCTAGTCGGAAATATACTCATTTATATATTGATTAATAATTAGAATAAAATCACATATATGAAAAATACTTAGTTATGACAAATCATATGCTGACTATAGTTCATAGATCATAGCTTTCCTAAGGACAGATGATGATTTTTTCCAGTATATTGGCCTCTGTTTAGCTTACTTAGTGCTTTCTCTAGCAAAGCAAATATCATATTTTAATTGCATTCTAGTTCAGTCAGTCAGTCAGTCAATCAGTCAGTAACAACGTAGAACTTCATACGTACGTACGAACTTTGAATGAAAACCAAGATGTTTGAACTATATCACAAACAAACCCATAATTCTTAGCTTTAATGCACAACAGACAATAACTGAAAATTAATTTTAGTTTATCGTATAAATCAATAAACTTACACTAAATTTATAAAATAAGCAAAAGAAGAAAATTCGAAAGAAAGAAAAAAAGATTAAATCTTTTTAAGACTAATTAGTTCTTAATGCAGCGTTTAGATTAAGAAATAGAGAATTAGTGAAACATATAGAACAGTAATACTCTCCAACAAGTACATTATTTATTTCAACACATAGATATTGGTACAAAGAGGCACCAAATACATATGCGCCACACAAATCTCATTTGATATGTGTGAGGGCTGTGATACTGCCCGGGTGCCCAGACCGAAGCTGGTGGTTTTCTTAGGGGGCCACTCCCCAACAAGTACATACTGATGATTAATTGCTGCGTAAGGTTACTACTGGCAGTAAGAAATTAAACAATATATACATGCTGAGAGAGGAATATTAAGCGTAAAATAAAAAAAAACTATAATTGATGAGGATTAGATCCCAATATCAAATCGATACATATTATTACTAAACTGCTCCATCTTTGTAATTCGTGAGATCTTGTAAATAAACTTACTTTATATTGTAATTACATTGAAAAGAAGTAAAATATGTCTAGAAAGATAATACTTACTAACAGATCACTTTATTATTGTTTCAAATTTGGCCAAGTTTATTTTATTTACATTACGCAATAGGTTGAATTAAGTACATGAACATGTGAACACCTATGATTTGTTCATTTAAATACATAAAGCGGTACAAAAGGGTACAAAAATATATACGCGCCACGCAAACTATTGAATTTGTATATGGGCTGGAATACTACCCAGGTGTCCAAACCGAAGTGATTTCACTAGAGGACCAATCCCCAAGCATTTAACCCAGAAGTTTAAACCACAAGATAGTGGAGCACCATTGGGTGGTGCGGTCCCATGGTAGCCGGTCACCAACAATAGTTCCGTACGCTATTTGTTCCCTCAAGATAGTGGAACGCATGTATGCCATTAATTCGAATCAGAGCTTTAAAAATCTCCCAGGAGAATCCGCCTTATCCACCAACCCGTTTTAAGCACCGGATATTTGCTTTTCATCTTTTTAATTCCGTAAACAACTACCCTGCCATGAGGAAGCAGTGAATAAGACTTTCCTGGCAGTGGTTATATAGGCGTGGCCATATGGGAGCATCTGGAAAGGGAGCAGACTCTCCCCATCCTCGGCCGTACTAGATAGATATTATTACTTGAAGCTGTTCAATTGAGACGCACTAGATCAATTAATAAAACTTAAAAACATTACGTACTTTATACTGACAATAATTAATACGTCAGAGGTTACGACTTATTAATAAGTAGGTAGGCTTTCAAGAATAGACAAATGAAATTTACACTTATGAAACATATTTTTCGGTTTTCGATAATGTATACGATGATTATAAAAAGTGATAAAAACTATTACCTCACTAGGATTATTACACACTTCTGCCAAATAAACAATCTTATCTCTTGCATTCGACCATCGAGCTCCATGGAATGTCGAACTATTCGAAGGATAGACACGACCATGACGAGCATTAAGTGTTGGGAGCTTTATAGAGTTGGTGAAACGTCCATTTATCCACACTTGAATGAAAATACCTGATTCTGCGGTACTAGCGACAGTAGACTTTGAAGGATTTGAAGCCAGTGGAGGATTACATTCGATACACACAGCTCGGTGACAACCTTCAGGAGACTTAATATCCCAGATAGTACGTACATGGTTCTGTGAGGCGAAAGGAAAACACTGTCCAAATGAGGTAAACTGTAGTTGTGAAGTGTAGTCCACATGTAGACTTTCATGCATGTCATGTTGTGGTAAGGTGACCAGATAATTTCTTAAATATGAAACACTGTCTTTTCGAAAAGTGTCAGTCTGCGTCCACTCAGCTATAATAGAGTATTCATTACGGTCAGGACAATTGAAAACCTTGATTTCTGATAACACTGGAGTGTTGAGGAACCCAAATAGCGTCGATAAAGATTTTTTGGGTAGCATGACTAAAAGTTTTGGGATACATCATATTTTTTTCCATCAGCGAAGCAACAAAAAGAAAATATACAAGATAAAACATCGAAAGAAATGGAGTTTATTTGAGGAAAAATAAAAATGTACAAAAATTTGCTTAACATTTGATAAATGTAATGTATGATGGCAAAATCACTGGACATCATAACTCAGTGTTGAAATTTTCCACTTTTTCCAAAGAAGATGCAAGCTTTTGCAAATGAAATTCGAGTTCACCCGGGTCTTTTGATGAAGATATCAAGAACATAATCCACGATTTAACTAGAGTGCAATTATTCTGGAAAACAAAAGGGACATATATAAAAGTAAACGGCAAAGAAAAAATATATTGGCAATAATCAGTCGAACAATAAAAACTTCATATGTAAACTGAATGAAGATATGTAAATTACAGTAGAATCTGCTTTTCATGTAACCATTTAAATCTAGTAACCTTCAACTAGTTTTCACGTTTATAATGAAAAGACAACAAGTGAAGTTCTTTAAAAACGAGTGGAAAACTGTCGGCGATTAAAGTACTGACAGACAACTGATAGTTGGTTTGGTTGCAACCTGTCGGTCACAGATTTGACCCTCGACAGAGTAATTCAACCAATCAAAATTGATTATGACCCATAGTTCATTGGAAAAGATTTTAAAATATTATTGAACTACTGATTATCATTCTAGCTTTTGAAAAGTGTTACTCCGTCTGGAGACCTTCTATGGATACTCCCGATCCGATGCCTGGGTAAAAGAGGAGCGCTGAGCATGGGGTTAACAACCCAATTTCATAAAAAAGAACGTTGATTAAAACCATATAGGGAAGACCACTTACACCATTTCAGTCAGTCAGTCAGCTACAACGTAGGACCAGGCACATATATGCATCGGTCCAGGTTGCCATACCGCATTAGCACAGCAAGATGAACACCGGATTCATAGGAGTGGTTAGGTCAAAGGTGGTAATATATAGGAGAAAAATTGCATATAAGGATACAGTACAGGAAGAAAGAATTAGTTAGTAGAGAAAAAATGTGGTTGACAATCCAAAAGATGACTTTGCACCTGCCAGTTATAATCTATTTTTTTGCATCTTCTATTACCGAATGTTAACGACCAAACAAAAAAATTACAGCTGCATAAACCACTGACAACTACATATTCAGCAGACTTTTTCTATCAAATATCATCACATAAATAAAGTAATCTTCATCAGGGCTGTCTAGTTTCACCATTCTTTATTTAATTTTAGCATTGATGTGCATCTAAAAGTAATGTTCTGTAGAACCAGTAAAACCTCACTGGAACCTAGTCAAATCATCCATCAGGCTGAACTGTTTCTAAGTTAAACGACAGATCACTGATAGTTAGATAGTCTATCGAACATCGTCAAAATCAAGGATGACTTACGCTAGTTAGTAAATTGTACATCATGGGCTGATACATGCGGCAGTAGTCACACTGTTTCTCCAACCTATTCTTACCAATACATTTTTCTAATAACATCATATTCGTTCTATACAGTTATTAAAGTAGCGCCAGTATCTGGGTACCACGAAAAAAACTTGAGTAGAATTATGAAGGGGTTTGAAATGTTTCCCAGTCCTATTTCCGAAGATTTAAATTGAGGCTTCAGGACCGATCTGAGTCATAAAATAGTTTGGCAACAGTAATGGACGTAACTGAGTAGGTGGACTGCTTCGGTTATCTTTATATACATCATCGAACCACAACACGAAGAACTAGATAGGATAAAGCTGGTTCGCGACTCAGGTAGGAACAAAAGATGTCTTCTCCATGTATCAGAAACTTTTCTAGCATATCATGTACACTCACTAAAAACATAATGAACGAATCATCTGAGAAGTGCGGAAAACCACAGCCACAGTTTTATGGCCTGCATGATCGGTTGGTACGAGTCCTTTGAACAAAGTCTGATAAGCATTGTATTATTCTGAGATGGAATACCAGTGTATGTCTTCTAAAAGAACCCATCCATTAAGTCAAAGGCATCGAGTTGTGTGCCTAGTACTATACGAAACTATCAAAAAATCAACTGTCAGCTGACATCTGTAACAAAATGCATATGTTATTCGAGTACCCACACCAAACCAAGTAGACCTTTAAAGAGACCACTAACGATTACTTCGACCAGTGATTCTGATTCATGGAGCAATAAAGAAACGTTATCGAATACATTTATATAATGGTCAGTAACTGTAATAAATTCATATACTATTCATTATATCAAAATCTCGGGAACCACGTATATATGGGCAATATTGATCAGGGACCGAAATTTGCCAAATCTTCTAGATCCGTCCAGCTTAGCCGCCGACATTGTATTAAGCGATCAAAATACAAAATACAAATAAAAAAAGCACGATCAGTACTCAGTAGTTGAAATAGTGAACAATATGATCCTGTATGGAAATGAAAAATCTAATCCATACAGAAAAACGATAGTGAATTTCTTACACAATTCGGAGCAATAGTGTCTTATTGACAATATCATTGTCTGGAAACTTGAACTTCTGGAAATATAAACATATACATGCAAAAGAATGGATATTTGAACAGAAACTTTAAAGTCACATTACAGACCATAGACTAGAGCATACCTTAAGTGAATTAGCTATAGACTTTGAAGAGGGTGAGGAATCAGATGATTTCCGTGAAGTTTCTTGCTTCTGTATCATCCGAGAATATAGATTATTGAGGAGAACGATCATTTTTAGAGAAACTGATATGGGTGCACTCGAAGACAATGAGTACTCCAAAGTTTTCATAAATTCCTCAGGATTCTGAAGCTATATATGAAAGCTATAGATATACCTGTGTAAGAATTTCACCACAACAATCTATGTCACAGGACAGATTCACAAAAACTACTAGTAGATTTCGTAGGACGTATGGATCGCGAATTTTTAACATATTACAGAGATAACCACATTTATTACGTAGCAATTTGCATCCATCTGGAGTTAATGCTATATTACCGAGGACCTGAAGAGCAACGCATGCTTGATCACTGTATTCCACTGCATTTGCTATTAATAAAATATCATCGAGATAGTCCTAAAGAGATTATTTGAATGGAAATCTCATACCTTTATGACTGGAAAATTTTGTTGATCGCACGCCAAGTTCATTACAACGTGAAGAATGTTTAGGTTTTGCTGGCGTCCTGATAACGTCCCTGAGGTAGAATCCAGGAGAGATAGGAGGAGTTCTAGGCACTTAGAGTCCCTAATGACATCCTGAAATCAAATAGTTAATGATGAAATTAATTAATTACAAAGTTCCGACGAAATGATGAAGCTTGATGAATACTGATGATAAGCTTCTGTCTTGTGTCATAATCAGATATACTGATCAGTGTACAGATGGATGTACAGAAATCAAGCGTTAAATTTCCCTTGTCGTATTCGATAACTTTAGGGAGTGACGTATCGCCTAATGTGAAACGAGGCACTGATGGGTTGAACGAGACTTTTTTAACATGCGGTCTTTGAAATAGTCTCGAGAAACAAAACAGAGTGAACGCAGACGCCACAAAAACAGACGATGCCACAAAGATAGATGTACTGTTCATGTATTCAAGCTCAGATATTGTTATTACCTATCAGGTCATTAAATGAACAATACTATCTCCTGACAGAAATTAACCAATTTACGGGATAGAACAGATGGAGGACTAGCATAAGCTGAAGCTGAAGAAGACCAACCACATTTATTTGAACTGGAATCAGAAAATGCACGTCAATATAGCAAAATTCGTTTGCAGTTCTAAAAATGAAACAGGAAAATCAAAATCCTAAAATTTAAGAAATTTCGAAGTGTACCAGTAATAACGGAAATAATTATAAACCAACACAGTGTACACTATTTACATAAAAAAAATCGATTCGCACTAGTATCAAACGCTCTGACAAATGTATTTGGAAGGCCTAAACCATAAATAATTGTTTAAAATATATTGGGGCGTTATATTGGAGAAAAATCACGTCTTTCCTCAGCAGATCAAGTTGGATGGAGAAATAGTGGCCAATGCTACCATTAAAAAGCATCATACATTCGGACGGAAGGATCTCTTGACAATTAAATTTGCCTTCACCTTATAAGGGAACCTATTACTAGAAACCTGCACAAAATTCAGTGTTGATCTTTGCATAACTGACGGTAGTAAAATACAATCAGCCGAAAGTGCAACAAACGACAGTTGTCAAGATAGTGAGGTACCTAATTGTGAAGGGATTTCGTGTGATTGGATTTCATAACCAATATGGTTTCCAAACCACTGTGAGTGAAGCGAGTGAGTAACAAACAGACATAAAGGATTGTGGTGCATGAATTAACTGAATTTAGGAATACAGCTGACTAAGCGAAACGTGACTCCACTACATCGTTACAAGCGTTGCTGCGAAAGTCAACTTTTGTGTCTGAAAATTTTGGTTCAACAAGACTAGGGTTATCTTTACAAGAACTCCCGTATACTAACTGGAAATGAAGCTTCAGATGGTTGAGTTCTACCCTTAACTTTCTCAACTGATTTAAGAGAGGCTAGTTTATGTCATCCCATGAACTTCACGTATTTGAAAAGCTTATTTGAGAAGTCCTTATTATGACGAGATGAAGTGAATGATCACTGGTTGTTTTGACTCTCATCTCTATTTCAGATCATTTGTTTGTTAATTGACAAGAAGTTCATAGTCACGCTATTTTGGTTCTATATTATGTACATAAACATATCATAATATATATTCACGTTTAGTTAGTGGGGTAATTTTTTCTTCTGAAATCTATTCCGTTGGCTTTTAGAAACCAATAAAATAGGGCAGTTTTTAGTTCCCCAATCTCATTCGCAGTGACAACCTAGTGAATCACTCAAGCCCATCTCATATTGATAAGACTTTAGTATGAGTTGTTGTAGGATCCTAAAGTCCTGAGTATCTCCCCTTACTATCCTTACATCTGTGGCACTTAGTTGTGTTTACCTTCGCAACTATAAATCTTGAGTAGTAAACACACTCCCATTTATAATGGCTGGTGAGTGTTATTTTACTCATAATAAATTTCGAAATATTCATGATTCCGATTTTCTAACTTTGAGGAAAATTTTGCCAATTTTGGAGGAGTCTCATTAAAGGTTGTAAAAATGGGACAAAAAGCCCAAAAATATTGTAAAAGTTTTAGGGTTTACTAAACAACATTGTGCTACATCTAGGACTCCAGTCAGAGAGTCGTGAAGGACCAACAAAAGCCAATCCCATACAGCCTTCTTTCATACCATGGCACTATGTCGTGTAATGACCTCTCCCAGCATCGACAAATAATGCGTGGTGTAGAATTTGCTGTGACGACATTCGTATATTCATGTCCAAGCCATCAAAGTCGGTGTCCCATGATGGTGGCATCAATTAAATTGTCGTCACTGTCCCTAGATACATGCTGCCAAAGCTCCACGCTATTAACATGATTTTCCTACTGAATGTCAGCACTCGAGTGCTGGCGCGTTTTTCTCTTTCTCTTCCAACGCATTTTCCCTTTGTTGGTTGCTTGGGTATTTTGGAGAAAACGATGATCAAACACAGACAGTTGTCTAGCATCCTCAACTCAGAGAGGCCAGGTTTCACAAGCATACAGAAAAAATGCTGTCATTGACGCGTTGCAGATCTGACCTTTTAAAGCCAGACTAACCACGGAGCCAGAGATGAACCAGATTGGCATAAGCCGTCCTGGCTTTCATCATAAATGAACTTATCTCATTACTCACGCCAGCATCAGCACTTACACATATACTCAGATACGCCGTTTTATTTGTTATAGCCGCTCAATTATCACGTTTGTATAAAATCCCCTATGAAACGATTGTACGTTAGCATTAGGTACTGAAGTTGGCGCTGTACCCTTGAAATCTCTAAAACGCTTCTGATTGTCTAATCCATAAATTAGAGTCTTGCCGTTGAGCTCTGTCCTTAACAAGTAAGTAAAAAACTTTGGGGAATTATCTAACGGCTTTTTACCTCGCTGTACCGAAAAGTTCCAATGACCAAACAGTTGGGCAGGAGTATTTATTTCACGCCACAAGGTCATATGGTAAGCCACTCAAGGACAAACGTTGGGCTCTGCCTTAAACGGGTTTGTGCCTATCTACGCTGAATACTGGGAGAGTTTGAAAAGCAGCGTGTGTTAATTGTCTTCAGAATGATTTAATTTCACGGCTGTTGTTGCCAATTATTTTTAGCTGCTCTCACCATCAAATGTAGGCGCATTCTATGTGCTGAGTCACCGGCTCACCTTGGCTTTTTTCATTTATCTTCCAGACCCTCTCATGCAGTCGACTCTTCACAACCTCACTTCATTATCGTAGGTTTTGCCCGTTCGTCATTTAGCATAGGGCCGACTCATGTTTACAAAAGACGACTGCAACTACCATGTGGAACCAGAAATGTCGCAAACCACACCACAACTACTGGACCACCTCTATTTTCGACAACACATCGACTAGCTTCCGAAAAGCTAAGACTGGCCGAAAATGGATTCGACCGCATGACGGACTTAGGAATTATCCAACCATGGAACAGCCCATGGGTATCTCCTTTGTATATGGTCCTCCCAAAGAACTCTTGAAAACCCGTACCAGTTGCTGAGTCTCAATATTCATTTATTTTCAAATCATGAATTTGAATCGTATTAATAATCGGAAACATAAGATAATACCTTGAGCTGAATTTTACAGGCTTTCATCCAAATATTGCCTCGTTTACCCCCTCAAATGGTCACTTCCCTCAAAGCATAACAATTTTAGTTTCAATTCTAGAGTTGGGACTCTTCTTTATGAGCCCTAAGTGGTGTACTTTTTTTTATCGAGTTGTTGCCTCCAAGTGATCGGGTTGGTGTTATATTTGCTGTGTCTATACTCGATAACTGGGGTGAAATGAATAAGTAAGAGCTGGAATAAAAATGTTCATTATTTTGTATTGAAGTAACTAAATTAAGTAGCACGTACATTATTGGTTAATAAACACAGGATAATTGGACAGAGCGGACACAACTGAATTGGAATGATAGTGGTAGGTGACCATGCCACAGGTATTCCGTGTTTGACAACGCTTTAACCAGTTACACCTAATATAACTCGTACCCACTAAGTGAAATCAAGACAGAAGGGAAGAGTCTCGAATATACATTTTCTGGACAATCAATATATCTGGGATTGTCTGATCTAATCTGGCTAGCGATTGCAGTAGATGTTGAGCACGGCGTTCCCATCCGTGATCTAGTGCGGATGCATGACCAGGCTCCTATAGCTAGGTGAGTCCATGAGCTATTTATTTTGGGGATTTATTTGCCGCTACAGATCACTCCTCCCCCAGTGGGGTAGTGATGACCCTAAGACATGGCCAGCCAGAAGTTTAAACCCAACTAGTTTGTCGTTGGTAAACACTCCTCTGATAGCTTGCTAGGTTTAGCAGCGTCCGGTCGTCTTTCATTACTATAAGGGACCACGAAGTACAATATAGTATAAAAAGAAAAAGTACAATGAAGATTTCGGTTCTGCGTAAACTTCATCGTTCTTTTCCAGCCATCCTGGAAAAGAAAAAGAAAATGTAAGTGCATGACGAAGTACACAAAGTGAGGGAAAAAATGGAAAATTAAGTCATGCATACCTAATAGCGTTAAAAACAAGTTTTTTATAATATGTTTCTTTTGTTTTTTGGAGATAAAAATAAAAATGTATGAGCATATTAAAATTGTTTTTTTTAAATTATATATGGTACAAAGGAAAATCGAGACGATATAAAATGTCAAGTAGCATCTTACGTGCAATAGTCGTTTAAATGTTCTGGAAATCTAACTCTTCTTCCAGAACGCGTCTTTTCAAGTTTATTTTCAGATACATTCGGAGTAACATCGAGTGTGTTGGTTGTCGATTGAGGAATTATGAGTGGAGTCGTGTCGTTCGATTGTACCGAAGGAAAATCGACGTAGATAGGATTTCCTTCTAAATACGCTGCTTTGAGGCGATCGATGCTGATGCTATCGTTGGTTCCGTTCCTATAAATTATATAGTACTTCGGTTCGCGTTTAAGTACTTTGAAAGGTCTTTCGTATGCTGACTCGAGGTCGTCGATGCGAGTCTCGATGAATGAAAACGTGTGTACTATATCGTAAGTCAGGTTGAACGAAAACATCAGCTGATTGAGGTCGAGTGGAAGCAGGTTTAACCGAACGCATTGCATTTGTAAGCCTGTTCGTGTAGGAGGTTAGATCCATGTTCATTGAAGAGGACGAAGGATCCACGAATTCTCCTGGAAGTCGAAGTGTCGTCCACTAAACGAGTTGAGCCGCAGTGTGTCCAATGTCAGCTTTCACTGCATTGCGGATACCTAGTAAGACGAGTGGAAGAGCGTCGGTCCACTGTGAAACGTTTGCAGCTGATAGTGAAGCTTTTAGTTGTCGGTGAAAGCGTTCTACCAACCCGTTTGCTTGTGGGTGGTAGGCAGTCGTTCGGAAGCGAGTGGTTCCTAAAAGTGTGGTCAGACGACGGAAAAGATCAGATTCAAACTGACGTCCGCGGTCTGTAGTGAT